CACTACTACTGCTAACACTACTACTTTTACCACTACTAATTGTAATGGGGGATATTTTCACCCTGATTAGGAAGGTTGGGGGGAAAGCCCAAGGGTAACTAGAATACCGAGAGAAGCCAGATACTCGCATTAACCGAGGTTTTCAAGATAGGTGAAGACCACGAGTTATCACGTGGAACCCGATGATAGCGACCTCAGTTCGCCACGAGGAACCCCAAACAAGCACGCGTTGCCACGTGGAACAAACACTGGGTATAAGTCCCAACCCAGTTAGTTTGAGTTAGTATGTGTTGTCTGTCGGAGTGAAAGGATGGGAGAGTAATCGAAAATGCTAACGTGAGACTGATTGTTGTGAGAGGAAGAGCAGACGACGACGTCCTTTGAAGCCAAGACCAGCCAGGCAATTCTGTGTGAAGCCGAGGAGAATAACTAGATTCATTTGAGCGAACTCTGGTCAGTGACTGTGTGAGGAACCAGCATGTTGGAGTCTGAGTAATGTGGTGTGTGCAAGCTGTATATTAGGACACGGACAGGACATTGATGTAAGTGATAAGATGTCAATAAACTGATGTATTGTACTGCTAAGTCGGTGTCGGCTTGTCCCAGTTATGTCATCGTAGAATGTGTGCTAAGAGCATTCACTATACACATCATCGCACAGACAGCGAATCATTGCAAGCAGAGTTATTACAACAAGACTCATTGCACTAATAATACCACCCCTAACACCACCACCACCATAAACGCCATTTATTCTAAAACTGATCGTTTACCCAAAACCAGCTGGCCCCTAGTAGCCCTATATCTAGCTATGCTCACATCATCACTTCGCCTTAGTCTCCACTTCTCACTCCCCCCTTTCCCCCACATCTAAGTGTATGTGTGTTTGTGTGTATTGGTTGTAGGGATTAGGCAGGTCTCTCCACCCCACCCCCCTTTGTTACTTTAATTTCAAGGACGTTCTGGTTTTTCCATTATCAGGTTTTATCAGTGTTAAATCTTCACAAATAATTCTCTCTTCTTATTTCTTCTTAACGTGCAGGTTACCACGAGACAGAATGCAGTTTTGGAGGCGAGGCTGACCTCCAACGACTTCTGGTTGACTGCGACAAGAATCCAGGCCATGAGAACTTTATACCAGTCAACGAGTTCAGCTTGAAGCATCTACCTGACGGCTATAAGTAAGCTGAGCCAGGGGCGTAATTGCAAAAATAACTGGGGGGGGGGGGGGGGAGGGGATGTTAAAACCTCGTAAGTTTTTAAAGGCGGGGTCCGCCTCAATGGGCTTTAACCTTGCTTGAATGCTCATTAATAATAATAATAATTAATAATAATTACTAATAATATAGGTATTACTAATAATAGAGGTAATAACTGTATACACAAGGCAAATGAATGGTTGTAGACCACGAGGCAGACTAATAAGACGATGAAGAGATAATGTCCTGCAAACACTTAGTTTATAACTGGAGTAGTTATATAGGGTGTTTGAGGTATTATTTACATCCAGGGCCTTAGCAACTGCCTTCTTTATCCTTAGTAAAAGATGGCGGCCATCTGACAGCACAAGTGATTAGTTTTTTTCCAGTGCGTTAGCACCCGTCCTCTTTATCCTTAGTAAATATCGATCTGGGCGGGTGATGACGTCACGAGTGATTAGTCTTTCCCAGGTGGAAAAGGTATATGAAATCGATACTTTGTCTCCAAAGACTTGTCAGCGTGGTGTCATTTGTCAGTATTTCTAGGGGACAGAAATGTTTCTTAAGGAAGGCAAATCGATATTTCTTTAGTATTATTGCGCAGGCGGACAAATCAATATTTTGCAGGCGAATTATTATCTTCAAAGCAGCGTGTGACAGGTGGCGTGTGACTAATAGAGTTGGTGCAGGCTTATGTGCTCTGTAATAGACAAAATTAGTAGTGGTTTGTTAGCAGGGAATATATATGTTACAAAACAAAACATTTTAGGGGATATGAAAATACACTTATGGGCGGCAGTGACGGGCGGTGGAGGGAGCTATTTTAGGGTTAAGATAAAGAAACCTAGGAAGGCGTCTCGATGATCGGGGATATATGAGAAAGGGCGGCTCATGCGCCAGCATCGTTATCTGTGTCATAGTATCGATGACCGGGGATATATGAGAAAGGGCGGCTCATGCGCCAGCATCATCATCTGTGTCATAGTATCGAAGACTGACCGCTCAGTGATGGTTTGAGCTGTAGCAAAAAGGAGAATGTACGACAGAAGGGTGGGTGTCTTGTTGAGGGTAGAAGAGAAGGAGCATAATTGGCAGCCTATCTGACTTTATAAATAAGTATTCGAAGGTTCTGATTGGTCAGTAGGGGTCAGTGGTGATTCTCAAAATATCGGCGCGTGTAATGGGGGATATTTTCACCCAGGTTGGGATGGTTGGGGGAAGGCCAAAAGCTGACCTAAAACACCGAGATAGTCCAGATACTTGGATAAAACGAGAATCTGGAGATAGGTGACTAACCACTAGTTATCACGGGGACCACGATGATGCGACCCAAGGTCGCCACGGGAAAGGTAAAGGACCACCACGTGTTGTCACGTGAAACGGACCCGTGGTATAAGTCAGACTTGACGCTGGTCAAGTTTAGTTTTTGTCGACCTGTTGGAGTGAGAGGACGTGCGACTGAATGTAAGAATGTCTACGTGAGTGCCTGTGGAGAAAGGAGACCTGCCGACGAAGTGTGAAGCCGAGATCGACCATGCCAGCGTGTAAGATGCTCAAACATCAGTGTGAATCCATGGGACCCAACTTTGCTTGAATGCTTGAAGAAGACTGTTCGTTGAAGGCTGCATGAGTTTGGGTACGAGAGCTGTTCACTAGGACACCGACCGGACATTTCCCGTTGTAAGTGTAAATACGTCAATAAATTCATGTCTCGTAATCTCATATTGGTGTCGGCTTGTGCCAGTTGTGTAACGTGGAGCGTGTGAAAAGACCATCCACCACACACGCATGAATACCGCCTAGACAGCGAGAACCACACACAAACCACTTATTACAGCTTTTATCCTTTTGTAGGATAGCAAGATAACCTCTGACAGATGAAAAGCTTGGGAGTGTATAGGAAGACGAAGTCACCAATGCTACAACACAGTGAACACCTATTGGAGAGCTAGTTGGTCGGATAGTATGTTGACAACTGTCGGTCAGACGGCCTTCGGGAGGGACGAATAGTTTGTAAGATAGCTTCTGTAAAGGATGGTTGACAAAGCTTGTAAGTGTGCAGTCACTTATGGCGCCTCTGACAGATGACCGGAAGAAACAGATAGTCGTCCAGCAGACTGTTTTTCTAAATCATCCCTTTCAATTTGTGAAAATTCACACAGTCATGTATGATACCACCACGGGGGCGACTATAGGAAACAGTTTCGTCGGACAGCCTGTCATTGGGATGTGTAGTTTATTAGCCGGAGATGACGGCATCCTTGAAGAACCATCGACAATCTTTGTGTGTTTACAGTAAGACAACATTTCCTATGACACAATCTGGTAGGCGACCCGGGCAACAGATTATAGGACATCTAGTTTCAAGAACGACTAGTTGGTTAGGCGAGTTTGTGCAAATACAGTAGAAGGAAAAGACACCGCGCCTTTTAAAATCTTCCTTTGTTTCTTAAAAGGCGCCCTATGTTGCATAAAAAGTGGCCTCGTGTTTCATCAAAGTCATCTTATGTTTCGTAAAAGTCGTCATTTTATTTCTAAACATTGCTTCGTATTTTCGAAAAGTCACCCTCAGGTTTCTAAAAGTCGCCGCCAGGTTTCTAGAAGTTACCATATGGTTTCTAAAAGTCGCTCTCTGGTTGCCTTGTGTTTTCTAAATGTTACCTTAAGTTTTCAGAAAGTCGTCTTGTGTCCCAGTCGTCAGGGACAGCTGGTGAAAGCTGTGTGCCATACCTTGTGTTATTTAAGATGTCTCAAAGGAACAAGACATCAAGTGTTTCCCCAACAGAAAAGCATCTTAGTGACTCGAATAGTGACAGTGCTAATTAATGACTTACCAAGAAAGGTTGGTGAACGAGTGACTTGAGCTGTATCACGACGCACCGACAATAACGAAGACGAGGCGATGAAGAGGAAGACAAGTGCAAAGACGTCGAGTCTCATGTTTTCCTAAAGTCTCTCCCGTGTCCGAGACATCAGGAACAGATAGTGAAAAACTTGGGCTATATAGTCGACGACGAAGAGGACAATAAAAGCGACGATGACCCTGAAGATGACGACGACGCCAAAGTCAACAAGGAAGACGACAACGAGGGCGCTGTCACTGCCGAAGCAATAAGGAGACTTATGTGACTTTAGGTGTCCCGTCAAGAAAAACATCGGGCGATTTGCTGTGTCCAAAGGACAGTGTACTACTTACTAAGAAACATTGGTGACTGTCTTGCCAATACAAGTGAAAGACATGTTCTGTCTCTTGGGTGACTTGTGGTGTGCTGTAAAGAAAACCAGCTACTGACTTGCTGTGTCACAAGGACAGTTGGCTGCTTAATAATAAACTTCAGTGCCACTTTGTCAAGACCAGTGAAAGACATGCTCTGTCTCTTGAGTGACTTACGATGTTCTGTGAAGAAAAACATCAGGTGACTTGTTGTGCCCGAAGGATAGTGATCGGGTTACCCGGCGTCTTCAGTTATCGCCTTGTAAAGACTAGTGATAGACATGCGCCCTCTTGTGAGTACTTTAAGCTGTCCATCGAGAAATATATAGCGCCCTTTTGGCACCTAAAATTGTCTTAGTCCCCTTCGACGCCTGGTAGCACCGCCTCTGTCGACCAGACTCTTCAGTTACAACCCTCGTACCTTACAAGACATACAGAGCAGTTCTTGTGGACTATACGTTATTTATTTTATACTGATTGAATGCTGTGGTGGTCGCCTGCCCCGAATTTGACACTCGTTTCCGTCTTCGTATAGACAATTCATCAACGACCGAATCATTTGGTGCCTCGTTTCGCCCTTAATCAACAAAACAAGTCCGGACATGTCGAGTTTAAACCGATTCTACAAGCTCACTGTGGGTATATAAACAGCTTGAGCACTGACCCTCTTCTTATCGCCGACGTCACACGCACACTGACGATGTCAACAGTCCCGACCATTTGGGTGTACATGACTAGAAACGACGAGGTGGTAAAACCTTTGGGCTCTGGCTTAAAAGCTGTTTCTGTCTCGCTATATACCGGGACACCCACCCTCCACTTGAGAATTTTCTTTGGCAAGACAGATCTCAAATTCCCCATTAAAGCGGGACTGACACTAAATCGCCTAGAATTTGAGCAACTACTTGACCTAAAGACGGAGATCCTGACAGAGTTTTGCTAACCACTCCTTGTTACCCGCCTACAACCATGATTACAAAACACTATGCCGATGAGAACAGCCCCATCGACAACACGGACTAATATACACCGGATCATGTTATCCGACACATTGAGACTGTCGAGAACAACGGACCTGCTGCCTCTATAGATGACTCGGTTCCTTAACCACTTGCAGTGAGAAGATGTCTACGCCAACTTTGATTTTATTAATAAAAGAAACCTAAAACACAAAATATTGTTGTGTTGCTAATATTTGTCTCAGTTACAAATATTGTATAGTTGTTATTTACATATATCCACCTTATACATGTACAGCCAGCTATCCACAGCTATATATTAGTCTCTAATTTATGAAACAGAAAGTAACCAAGGACACTATTCTAAAACTGTTTAATGTTACCTCATAACTAAGAAAACGACAGTTTATGAAGGAGACTACGCGGATGATGATAATGATGGCACCCAAGCCACATTTTCTCCCTGCCATCAAACCACCTTCCTAGGTTTCTTTCCACTAAAACGACCCCGCGGGCGTTCGTGCGTGTGGGCATACCCCATTGACCGACAGCGAACCGACTGACGATTTTTCCTAACCCGACTGCCCAGGCAGAATCACCACTGACCCCTACTGACCAATCAGAACTTTCGAATACTTATTTATAAAGTCAGATAGGCTGCTAATTATGCCCCTTCTCTTCGGCCCTCAACAGTATGACAAGACACTCACCCTTATGTCGTACATTTTCCTTTTTACTACAACTTAAACCATCGCTGAGCGGTCGGCCTTTGATACCATGACACAGATGATGATGCTGGCGTATGAGCCGCCCTTTCTCATATATCCCTGGTCATCGAGTCGCCTTCCTATTTTTCTTTATCTTAACCCTAAAATAGCCCCACTTCGCCGCCCGTCACTGCCGCCTGTAAGTCTATTTTCATATTCCCTAAATTGTTTTGTTTTGTAACATATATATCACCTGCTAACAAACCACTCCTAATTTTGTCTATTACAGAACCCATAAGCCCGCACCAACTCTATTAGTCACATACCACCTGTCACCCGCCGCTTTGAAGACAATAATTCGCCTGCAAAATATTGATTTGTCCGCCCGAGCAATAATACTAAAGAAATATCGATTTGCCTTGTTAAAAACATTTCTGTCCCCAAGAAATACTGACAAATGACACCACGCGGACAAGTCTTTGGAGACAAAGTATCGATACCATATACCTTCCCCCGCCCGTGAAAGACCAATCACTCGTGACGTCATCACCCGCCCGATCGATATTGACTAAGGATGAAGAGGGCGGGTGCTAACCCGCTGGGAAAAAACTAATCACTTGTGCTGTCAGATGGCCGCTATCTTTTACTAAGGATAAAAAAGGCAGTTGCTCAGGACCTGGATGTAAATAATACCTCAAACACCCTATATAACTACTGACATCACCCACCAATATACGTCTAGTCCTATATGCCCAGTACGACTGAAGGTGTGGAATAGGGTTCTTTACTTCACTTAGTTTAATAACCAACATCACAGCACTTAGGGCATCCGCGTCCCTATCTGAAATTCAGAAATACACAAATCACCATACAAAACAATTAAGTCTATTATCTATGCTTTGCAAACTGAAGATGCGTATGGCCGGTTTAATCGTAACAACGTTTTGCTTCTGACATTATTTAGCCATGATTTTTTCCTTGTATTTAGACTTAAAGAATATATTTCCGTCGCCCACCTATTGGGTGCATGGCGCGACTCTGTTAACTGCGGATTCCATGAGGAGTGTTTTTTCGACTGTTCTGAAACTGGTTTGTACTGTGAATTGCAGATTCTGTAAAAGGCGAGTGGCTTGATGCCAGTGAACAAGTGCGAATAATTCGATTGTAAAACCTATGATCTGTTGTAGCAGCTGCTTTCATCAACGATGTGCTGCATTTCTTATGTCTGACTCTTTATGTTGGCACTTCTTGCGGCTGCTTTATAGTTAATGCTTGAGTATATTATTTACTTTGGTGAGTCTGTAATCTGTGTCAGGTTTTTTATTTTTTATTTGAATAAGGGCCAGTGATGGGCGTTTTGTGTGGTTTTTGTAGGCAAAGGAACGTGGCAACTATGGAGTGACCCGTTTGCTATGAAGTTGGAATTGTAACGATCTAGTTTGAACTTAAACCTTCACAGAACATATATTTTTGTGGGGGGTGGGTGGGGGGGGGGGGGGCGCATTAGCGCAGTCGATAGGAGATTCGCTTTAAATCCAGCTGCAACTCGCTGCAGCCCACAGTGTTCGAAACCGGGCGGTTCCAGGGGTTCACCCAGCCTCTAGGTAATGGGTTCCAAAGTTAACACTATGGTCGAGGACTCTCGTGATTAAAAGTACAGTGAAACAATGGACTACCTAATGTTATGCGTTTAAGTCAAATTAATAATTTATTTGTGTTTCAAGATACTGCAGTAAAAAGTATGTATAAGTTACTTGATGAGAATAAACAAAATATCATCTGTCTTTGCTTTAGTTTACACATAGGCAGCGATATCTACTCCTTTCGACATAACAGATTCCATTTCAACAAACTACTAGTTCAGTGATTCCAATACTGTGCGCTGTGTCCCCTGGGGAGCCGCGACCTCTTCACAGGGTCCCGCAAAATATTCGAAGTTAATGTTAGTTGCGTATCATTTACAGGACGTTGCAGAACACCAGCATTGGCTGTTAGGGTTTTCCTAGGCAAATTTACGTCCAGTATTTTGTCATTGTTATCCTGGACGGACGGCTTCATGATACCAATGTCGAAACCAACGCAAGGCGCAAGGCTCGCAGCTGAGATTTTCGAAGATACACCAGTTTAATTTGTTTTCATCTCTTAAATACGAACAGTCATACTTTTACTTAGGTAAAGGGGCCGTCGAAAATCTTTAATTGAAGAAAAGCTCCGCGACTAAGAAAAGTGTGGGAAATACTGAACTAGTTGGTGGCTGTTTACGACATGCTTGCTGGGGCTCCCCCTTCCCCAACCCCCATTCCCGAAATTTGTCCAATAACTAACACGTGGTCGACGAAATATATGGAGTTATCAAATGAAACGCACCTAAACATCTTTAATGGAGACTCACATATTTTACCTTAGAAGGTATTGCACAAATTAAACAAATCAGCTGCTAGGTGGCAAGCTGAACATTGTGTGAGCTCAAGACCGGAAATTACACTATGAAAACCAGATTTTTTAAGAATGGTTAGACCAAATATAAAATCTAATAAGAAACAGTAACGCATACTTTGAGACTCATGAGAAAAGCTATTCGTCTTGTGCAGGATGTTTGATATTGAAAGAGGTAATCAAGAGTCACCGTAATTTTGTTTTCCACACAGAGTTCATCAGACAATTACCTTTTATTGTATCTTCCACAAAGAATCACTACAAGATCTACTTATAATTTTGCACAAAATTATTTGGAGAGATTACATAATCACTGAATTATTCAAAGTGGTAAATGTATTATGTTTTCAGAAAGAGTTAAACGAATAGTTGCTTCACACTTTTTGTTTAAAGAATAAGGTATTGTCACTTTACATTTTGTTCCCCCTAGAGTGTCAGTTGGCAAACAGTGACCTTACATTCATCTTGTAGCTGGTTTTTTGCAAAACAGCGCTCTAACCACGTTCTGCCTGAAAGAATCTCGGTCTCTCACCAGCTTTATCACCTCATGTACTTTCATATTTAAAGATTCACTTATATCCTATGCCCATCTTCGTGTTAGTCGGCCCTTGTCCCTCCTTTCGAGTACCATGCCTTCTGCTACAATTGTTTTTTTTTTCATATCCGCCATGGTCCTTGATGTGGCTAAAATATTTCAGCTTCCGGGACAAAATGCTGTTTTTTAGATAACCTTCCTTGATTTTTAGATCTATTGAAATGTCAGTATTTCTGATTTGTCTATGGCATTATGATAATATTTATATAGCATTTCAGCTCAAAAGCCTCTATTTTCTTTCTTAAGGACTGAGGTTTAGTGCACGACTCACATCCGTATGTTGCTACAAGGAAGATGAATGCTCTCAAAAGTGTAATTTCCTTGCTTGCTGGTGATTAACCATTGACTTTTAATGCTGTTTAATCTTTGTATTGCTATGGCCATCCTCTTTTTGGCCACTTTCGAACAGTCTCTATTGCTATTTATTATGAAGCCTAGAAATGCAACGTTTGCGACATTTTCTATTTCTTTATCATCTATTGTTTTTTTTCATGACAGTCAGTTTTGTCTGTGGACATAATTTGAAATTCAAGAATAAATTTTCATCTTCACTGTGTTTTTGGACATCAATGATTAAATGTTGTTCTATTCCCTTCTCGATTTTCGAACGGAGGACTGTGTCATCTGCATAGCGAAGTTCCGGAATAGTGTTGCCATCAACTACAAGGGATCATAACTGTCACTAGTCTGGTCACTCATTACAGTCAGGCTGTGATATTTGTTTCTTTAGACCCAACACATCCGATTTTAGTAAAACACTAATTTATTCATCCTGTATAGAAGCTATTAAGGAGGCAATACCCCCCCCCCCCCCCTTTTTTTTCCCCCCACACCACAAATGGATCACCGGAACCCACGAGAGGGCGCCCTTTTCGATGTTTCATAAAGATTTCATGAGTGACTTAGCGTTTTTCTTTGTGGAAAACTTGTGCATAGAACAAACATTTATAATGAAAAACACGAGAAGGGAGCTAGAGAGTGAAGTCAAAGCAATAGAAAGGTGGGGGTGAACAGCGTGCAACAGCGTGCAACAGAGAGGGATAGTCCGGCTTGGCGTCAGTTGATCGAGGAATTATGCTCCACTGAAAGGGGGGGGGGTGACAGGTAGAAGAAAAAGAAGAAGAAGAAGAAGAAGAAGAAGAAGAAGAAGAAGAAGAAGAAGAAGAAGAAGAAGAAGAAGAAGAAGAAGAAGAAGAAGAAGAAGAAGAAGAAGAAGAAGAAGAAGAAGAAGAAGAAGAAGAAGAAGAAAAAGAAGCAGAAGAAGAAAAAGAAGAAGAAGAAGAAGAAGAAGAAGAAGAAGAAGAAGAAGAAGAAGAAGAAGAAGAAGAAGAAGAAGAACAACAACAACAACAACAACAACAACAACAACAACAACAACAACAACAACAACGAGGAGAAGAAGAAGAAGAAGAAGAAGAAGAAGTAGTAGTAGTAGTAGTAGTAGTAGTAGTAGTAGTAGTAGTAGTAGTAGTAGTAGTAGTAGTAGTAGTAGTAGTAGTAGTAGTAGTAGTAGTAGTAGTAGTAGTAGTAGTAGTAGTAGTAGTAGTAGTAGTAGTAGTAGTAGTAGTAGTAGTAGTAGTAGTAATAGTAGTAGTGATAGTGGTGGTGATGCTGCTGGTGCTGGTGGTGGTAGTAGTTTCATGTGCCATTTACAACAAAGAATGACAAGATCACTGAACGTTTTAAACAGAGACTTAATTCTGTTTTCAGAGATGAAGACATTGTGAACTACATACGAGCACAGGCAGACCTCACGGTGAAGATCACATCCAAGTTCACGAGCATGCACCGACCAGAGGGCTACTCATTTCACAACTTCAGAGGCAAGAATTTCATGAGAGTCGGCTCCGGATTCATGCAGTACGTCTATAGAAACGAAAGACGCTCTAACAAACCCTGCCCTTGTCCGGAATGCAAGAACTCGCCAACGCCTCGTCTGGAGTGGGCAAAGTTGAAGATTAGAACTGCGACGCATGTGGTATTTGACGACGACGAGGCTCAGAATACAATGGTTGAGTTCTTCTATGACGATGACAAGCAGAAGGATAAAGTAAAGCGAGTCTATGGAGAGAGTGTGCGGTTTGGGACGGTCCGTGGGGACTGGTGTGATATCCGTTGTGTTAGTCATGATATTGAGCTCTGTGACTTTCTGAAGGAGACATGGGGCAAATGGAGATGGCTGGAGACAAAGGTTAACCAGAAATATACTTGTGAGCAAGACCATCGGTTGGCCATTCTGGTGAGTGGACATTTGTTGAATATTTCTGTCCCAAGAACTTATTTTTACTGTGATTATTTAATAAAAAATTAGATCCATACACGGTACGCCTGGAATATTAGATGGTGGGCATATTGTTAACAACCTCATAAAATCAAAACCAGGGTCTTAGTTTGAAAAGGAGAAAAACATAACTAATTACAAAGAAAACTGAACCTCTGAAATTCAACGTTAAAAATACACGACATTTTTTTCAAATTTATGACAAAAATATCACTTTTTCAATGTGTTCATTTTTGTAATGTTCGGCATTCGTAGAATAGATTACACACAAAATTTGTGTCATTGGTAAACAGTTTAGCATTGAAAAGTTAATACTAAAGACACCAACCCATGCACTTTTTTAAGATAAAAAAAGTTTAAAAGTCACTTTTCTAACAATTCAATTTTTCTGTTTGTTGTGTGTGGGATCTCCTAAAATCTCAGCTAATATAAAGACTAGAGACGTGAAATTTGGTGTGAATACTCCTAATACAATATTATAGGGTCAGGTCTATTTGAAATTACAGTTTATTGAGTAATTTGTTTTAAAAATTTGATTATTATCTTAAAAAGCTACATTTTTGTATTTTTTTCAGCATACCTAAATTTTAATATTCTACACAAAACATTTAAAAACATCTTTGAAGTAAATAACCTAGCCCTGACCCTAAACATAGGTTTAAAGTTCATGAATCAATCATCTGTTTCTTAATACCTCTGTTTGTTTTTGAAATTTTAGCTGTCTAAGAACATGTTAATTTTTTATCAAGATGGCGGCTGTTGCCATGGCAACCATGTTTTTTTAAAACTTGAAGTCTACAAATGTAGCAACATACATCCCTACAAATGACCATTATAAAATAATTGGTCTAACATTGTAAATAAAAAAATAAAAAATTTTCCTGTAGTGACCCCTTAAGTATTTGGGTACCCTCATAACATCAGATGAAGGATGTATTAATGGATTGAAATGTTGAAAAGCTCAAGCAAAGGCAGCATTTTACAAAATGAAGAAAATGTTCTGCAATCTTTCTTTGTTTTTTTTAGACGAGAAAGAGAGTTCTTAAAAGCTATATACATGCTATCTATATACGAATGTGAATCATAGTCAGTCGGAAGATTAGTGAAACAGTTATTTGTAAGCTGCGGAGATGTGTTTCTATAAACGAATGAAGAGAATACCCAGGATTTATAAAAAGGGAAATAAAGATATGTTTAAAATAAAGTTACTCTCGAAGATAATTATTGCCCACATCAGAGAGAGAGAGACCATCTTCATTCTTTGGACACGCTATTAGAAGAAGAAAATTGGAGTACGTTGTGACAGTAGGACAGCTGAGAGGAAAGAGGGGCAGATGGAGAACGAGAGAACAGATGCTGGACAGTCTGACACCATGGCATGGAGGATCATCTGTGTCAGAGATGGTTAAAAGTACACAGTAGGCTTGGACGTTAAGAAGAATATTTCAGTCTGTTTCCTTTGATAAGAGGCCTAAGGCATTCTACATCCTTTAGGGTGATAAATTATATGCTGGTTTAATCTCAACGGCACTCCGGACGTGACTGTAAATGCTCACTCAACATGAACATCAGCATCCTGTGGTTGAAAGTGTCAGTTCTATGCCTTTTGACAAAACTCCTCTTATGTCCGGTGTAGTCTGTCTGACATGGCTGGTTGTGTCAGTGTTTACTCTGTCCTCTAACATTCTTATCATTAATATAGAGGCACTGCCCTTTCCCTCTCCCCCACCTTAAACTTTTTATCCCTCAGTCTTTATCTGTATGTCTGTATGTCTGTATGTCTATCTGTCTGTCTATCTGCCTGTCTATCTGTATATCTGTTTTTGTATATCTGTCTTTCTATCTGTCTAATTTTTCTAGAATCTGAAAACGTTGGAGTCTGAAGGAGGTATTCATCATCATCCTTTTATGATATTTTACGTCGCATAGCGTTTACAGTCTATCATTCCATTTTACCTGTCCTGTGCAATTGTTTCAATATCATGGATGGAATGCATTCCAGTATCGTTGGCCTCTCTCAGCGTTGAATGTTTTATTAAAAAATGAGGAACACATTAAAACTTGTTAAAAAGGCTACGAAATGAGATAAACAAGCTTTGAAATAACATGATTATAAACGTTATGTCTTTCAATGGAGCCAACAAGACTAAGAAATAAAGGGCGGCCAGAAACACACAGAATACATATTTAGATCCAGTTGAATAAACAGTTCTCTGGTAAATATAATGCTTGCTTTATATACTTTTGAGTAGCCTAAAATGCTATTTCAATGACTGAATACGCATTATGTCCATGTTTGTTAGTTGCTGGTTCATGCGTCTGACTGACCTTTGTGTATCTACTTGAGAGTACGTCAGGGTACACTTTTTTGCCATTTCGGATGGACCGGTTTACGGTTGTAGTCGTAACAACGTTTTACATTAGTTAGATGTGACATTTTTCTTCGTATTTAGACTTAAAGGATATAGTTCCATCGCCCACCGTGTCAGTGAACCAGTGCGATTAATTCGATTGTGAAACCTCTGATCTGTTGTAGCAACTGCTTCCATCAAATATGTGCTTCATTTCTTGTGTCTAAATCTGTGTTGGCACTTCTGGCGGCTGCTTTATATTTAATGCGTGTATATAATTTACTTTGGTGAGACTGTAATCTGTGTCAGGTTTTTTTATTTTTTATTTGAATAAGGGCCAGTGATGGGCGTTTTGTGTGGTTTTTGTAGGCAAAGGAACGTAGCAACTATGGAGTGACCCGTTTGCTATGAAGTTGTAACTGTAACGACCTAGCTTGAACTTAACCCTTCACACAACATATGTTTTGTTCACAGGTCTCCCATCCTCATGGCTGCAGTAAACAGGTCAGCATCGGTGTCTGGAGAAACAGAGACATTATCGAGATTTCTCGTGAGTGGGAGAACTGTGTCTACTCATACGACACTCCAACCTGCCCCGGCAGCAGTGGCGCCCCCGTGTGGATCCTTGGGCAGATGAAGTGGGCGGGGTTCTTCGGTAGACATCCGCACAGTGGGCGACCAGTGGAGGGGTTGAATATCAGCGCTATTGGATGGGACAAGAGATCAAAGGCGATGACCTAATGTGTATTTATAAAAAAGAAAAACAAAACTTTGGCTAAACATAAACGAAATCGACAATGCGACATTGCAGCTGAAAGAGGTGTCAAGGAATATTGTTATAGTAATTTTTCTAACAATTGTATCAAGGTCTGCGAAAGTGTGTAGTTACCAAAGTTAACTATTTTAATGCAAATGTTGCTTTTTTATTATAATAGACGGTGTGTAAATTCCGGAAACTTTCCATAATGACGGAGTGGAGATCATATGTAGAAATGAGGTAACTGTATTGAAGCTATAAAAGTTGTGTTTTTTTTTTTTTTTTTAATTGGAAAACATTTCAGCTAATATATATATATATATATGATGACTGGATGAATCCTATGGCTGTTGAGTAGGTGAAGGTAGTCACACCGCAGGGAGGTGAACGCTTAGGCGGTCACATATTCTAGGGCAAGACTTAGATGTTGGTTTGGCTGTTCCTTTCCTGTTTAATCAAACAAAGAGGTCACCCACGATGAAATGAATTGTAGGCGTTGAT